GGTGGAGAGGGGAGAAAGACCAGGAAACTCTTAGGGGGGGGGGGGGACAGGTCAGTAAAAAAATTTTTTTTTACAGAAACCAGATACAGATGTTCATAAGCAGCAAGTCCAGTCCACATCTTCATTCAATTGGAACTTGGAAGAGGAGATTTCTACCTGTGTGGATTTTGCACAAAGAGCAAGAGCCCAGTAGCACCTAAAAGACTAAAAAAATTGTGGCAGGGTGAGTCACTGCTCACTTTTTCAGATACAGCTAGAATATGACTCAAGTCCATCTGTCCTTATATCTTGGAGAGCAGACTGAGTTCAGGTGCCAAATGAGTATAGCAGGTGAATAACAATAGCAGGTGTGACCAATCATTCACCTGCTGTTGTCATTTGCTGTATCTGAAGAAGTGAGCAAGTGACTCACGAAAGCTCATCCCCTGCCGCAAATTTTGTTAGTCTTAAAGGTGCTACTGGACTCCTGCTCTTTTCTACTGCTACAGACAGAGAAACACGGCTACCTGTTGATCTGTCTTCAGCAAACAGGTCTGTTTTACTTAAGTGTGCTTTTGCTTTTAGGTGCTAATATCCTGGTGCATCAGATGAAATATGCCCCAAATAAAACTAAACGGCATTACTGTGGACTTCCCGTTTCAACCCTATCTATGCCAGGAAGCTTACATGTCCAAAGTGCTGGAATGTCTACAAAAGGTAAGTATTGTCAGGCATCACAGATACAAGTTCTGGTTTCTACTTTTGGACCTACATTTAGAAAGCGTTTGGAAAATGGGAAGGAAGTTTAGCATCTGTAATTAAGACTCAACAACTGACTTGTCTAAAGGTCCAAAAATTTCTTCACAGACAACTGAAATTGTTCTGTTTATGATGTGTGTACAGTGTCTGAATAAGACCTTGAAGACAAAATATGTGACGGTATGATCTTGGTGCTACTGGACTCTTGCTCTTTTCTACTGCTATAGAAAGACTAACACGGCTACCCATCTTGAATAACACCTTGAGACTGTTGATCATTCATAATGCGGGTGTGTTTCAAATGAATGTGAAAATATACTATTTCAAAATGACTTTCCAGAATCGAGTTTTAGTTTAGACGTTTAATTCTGCTTGTGTCTCCAGAGAATGCAATATAAACTTGGTAATAATTGTCTACGCGTGAGCAAAGAGAGCTTTCTATACACAACTGTTGTCCATTTAGTTCAGAATAAAAGAGACAGGTGGTCTCCTATTTGTTTGCTCTTTAATTGGGCGAATGTCTTTTCAGTAAACGAAAACCCCAAAAGAAGCTTCTGTTGGCATTTGTTGCTGGTTTTGCATTCTCTGTATAGCTACGTAGCCATCTTTCTACTATGTATATATTTATACTCCAGTTTTCTTCCCGACGGAGTATTCTCCCCTCTTCTGTTTTATTCTCATAGCAACAAGCCTGTGGGGGCAGGTTAGGCTAAGAGAGTGACTGAGGCAAAGTCAGGGATTGAACTTTCAGGATAGAACAATTATGGCCGATATGTAGAATTGCCCCAAGCCTAGCAAGATTAAGAGTTGAATGTAGATGGGTGAGATCTCAGCTCATCCATGACCTTACCCGACGGCCTTCACCCATGGTGATAGAAGCAATACTTCCCCTTCTTTTAGAGTTGTTGTTGTAAAGGTTACTGACATATGAATGTGAGGGGCTTTGAGCATTTAGGAAAAAGTATATATAAATAACCATTCTTCATAATTGGAGAGCTTGCGTGCACTTTTCATCAGCTGAAATTGGTCCAGCTACACACACAGACTTGAATTTCATAGATATTTTTATACTGTGCAGAACAGATGCATTTCTGAGCACTCAAAAACGTGCTTAGCACTTCCTGAAAAGAGGCTGTTCTTCAAAACCCGCCTCCTTTCAGCGCCTGGAAGATTCATATTAGATCCTGTTTGAAGAGAGGTGGGTAGGAGGGGTTCTACTCAAGGGAGAGGAGAGAGAGAGAGAGAAAAGGGGAGAGAAGCAACTAAGTGGTCCTTCTGTTCCTACAATCTGTTCTTGAGCTGTAAGGATTAACACAAGGCCTTGTATTTATATACTTGGCTCCCCTGTAAGGAAACCTCTGTGGATCGTCGTGCTTGATGTCTATTTTGGAAATCTTCAGTGTTATCGTTATCCTACACAAGAGGTCCGAACATCTGTCGTGGAAACAAGGGGATTGGGTTGCTGCTGCTGTGATGGAAGCTATTTCTGTGGGCCTGATGAGCACTGCACTGTGAAAGCTTGCACTGAGAGGCAGTGCGGTGTAGTGGTCAGCGTGTCGGGCTAGGATCTGGGAGACTCACTCTGCCACGGAAGCTTGTTGGGTGACGTTTGTCACGCACTCTCAGCCTAACCTCACAGGGTTGTTGTGAGAATAAAACGGAGGAGAAGGGAACAATGTTGGCCACTTTGGGGTCCCCCTTGGTGAGGAAAGTAGTGACCTTGCTCGACGGCCTTCACCCATGGTGATAATAGTAATACTTCCCCTTCTTTTAGGGTTGTTGTTGTTGTAAAGGTTACTGACATATGAATGTGAGGGGCTTTGAGCATTTAGGGAAAAGTATATATAAATAACCATTCTTCATAATTGGAGAGCTTGCGTGAACTTTTCATCAGCTGAAATTGGTCCAGCTACGCACACAGACTTGAATTTCATAGATATTTTTATACTGTGCAGAACAGATGCATTTCTGAGCACTCAAAAACGTGCTTAACACTTCCTGAAAAGAGGCTGTTCTTCAAAACCCGCCTCCTTTCAGCGCCTGGAAGATTCATATTAGATCCTGTTTGAAGAGAGGTGGGTAGGAGGGGTTCTACTCAAGGGAGAGGAGAGAGAGAGAGAGAAAAGGGGAGAGAAGCAACTAAGTGGTCCTTCTGTTCCTACAATCTGTTCTTGAGCTGTAAGGATTAACACAAGGCCTTGTATTTATATACTTGGCTCCCCTGTAAGGAAACCTCTGTGGATCGTCGTGCTTGATGTCTATTTTGGAAATCTTCAGTGTTATCGTTATCCTACACAAGAGGTCCGAACATCTGTCGTGGAAACAAGGGGATTGGGTTGCTGCTGCTGTGATGGAAGCTATTTCTGTGGGCCTGATGAGCACTGCACTGTGAAAGCTTGCACTGAGAGGCAGTGCGGTGTAGTGGTCAGCGTGTCGGGCTAGGATCTGGGAGACTCACTCTGCCACGGAAGCTTGTTGGGTGACGTTTGTCACGCACTCTCAGCCTAACCTCACAGGGTTGTTGTGAGAATAAAACGGAGGAGAAGGGAACAATGTTGGCCACTTTGGGGTCCCCCTTGGTGAGGAAAGTAGTATAAATGAGGTAAATAATTTTTTTCCTTGTTGTAAGCCGAATTGATGAAATTTCCCCTTGGATCTGTTGAAGTGCCAGTTGATTAAATGGCACAGATTGATTTATGGCCGCTTGCAAGGAGTATGTCTGGACCATGAGAACTCTGGCATGTGTGCCTTAAGACTGAGTTGAACCTAAATCAGTAGAAATTCTAATTCTTGCTGTGCATCTATCATATAACACAATCAATCAAGTTTATTACAGTCATAGACCAGTATAATAGAAGACAAGTAAATACAGTTAAGGGTGCAGTAAAATTATAAAATATAATGGCATCTAAAATTATAAATAAGGATCTAAAAACTTTAAAATACAGAAATAATAGAATCAAAATTATGATCAAAAGTTAGGTTTAGGCCTATCTGTACTTTATCTCTTTCCTAGTTTGGTATGCCAACCAACCAAATTTGGCAACCATCCCAGTCAGCTTTTGATTATCTCCTGCCAGCATAATTGACAAAAGTATCCTTCTATTACGACCTGGAAAGGAGTTAACTATAGGCTTGATCAAAACTTCCCTGATATTATGATATATAAGACAATCGAAAATTACATGTTCCAATGTCTCATCAGATCCCATCCCACATATACAACTTTTCCTCAATGATCTAGTAAATCTGGCCTCCATTATGGCTGAGGGTAAGGCGTTGTATCTTAATAGGGTAAAAATTCTTCTATGATTGCTGATATAACACAAGTGTGGGCCTGTGAGACTCGTGTTGGGGGAAGAATCCCCTCCCCCCTCTACTTTCTCACTGGGCCTCCCATGGCTCCCGGTCACCAATGCAGCCACCAGTGACTATGTCAAAAGTAGGTGCATTTTCTGCCCTTTTTCATTGGGGGGGGGGATTTAAACCCCTGATGTGTTGTTGTTTTTTTGAAGATTTCAGATTTTTCTATACATCTGGGGTTTTTATTTATTTATTTATTTCTCACATTTTAATCCCGCCCTCCCCACAAGCGGGCTCAGGGCGGCTCACAACAAGTGCCAGTGTAAAACATTAAAAGCAAAGTAAAACAATCAATTTAACATTAATAAAGTGCTCAGTGATCTTATTGCTGCAATCAAATCAAGATGAAGGCTTAAGAATATTAACCCAGGGGATATTAACCCAGGTCAGATCCATCACAGTACTGTAAAGTTTTACACTGGGCCGTCCCTTGTGGTTGTTGGTAAAGGTGGTAGTGGCGGCTCCTAATTAAAAGCCTGGCGGAAGAGCCCCGTCTTGCAGGCCCTGCGGAACTGTGAAAGGTCCCGCAGGGCCCTGATCTCCTCCGGGAGCTCATTCCACCAGGTAGGAGCCGCCACCAAAAAGGCCCTGGCCCTGGTTGCCACAAGCCTGGCCTCTCGGGGGCCTGGAATCACAAGACGATGTTGGGCCCCCGACTGTAGTGCTCTCTCTGGTATATATGAGGAAAGGCGGTCCCTATGTTGGACCCTTGGTAACCCAAGCTTGCGGAAAAGTCTGTTTAGCATCTGTGTGGCCCCCGATCTGTGGATATAGAAATCCTCAGATGGGGGCCACATGTGGCTGTGAGACACATAGATATTTGTGTGGCTGCGGGGACCGCCTCTCCCCATATAAGCCCCAGAGAGCTTTATGCTCTTCCAGTCAGCACCTCCTGTTGATCCCTGGCCCGAGGGAAGCCCGCTTAGCCTCAACCAGGGCAAGGGCTCTTTCGGCTCCTGCCCCCAACCTGGTGGAACATGCCTCCACCCGAGATAAGGGCCTTGCGGGACCTATTAGAAGAGAAGAAGAAGAGTTTGTATTTATACCCTGCCCTTCACTACCCAAAGGTGTCTCAGAGCGGCTTACAAACTCCTTTCCCTTCCCCTCCCCACAACAGACACACCCTGTGAGGTAGGCGGGGCTGAGAGAGCTCTGACAGAAACTGCTCTTTTTCAAGAACAGCTGTGCCAGAACTATGGCTTGCCCAAGGTCACTCCAGCCAGGTGCAAGTAGAAGAGTGGGTGTCCGATTCCCCAAGCATTCGAAATAAATCCACGGTTGATGAACAAAGTCGAATTTATTATGAAGCAGTGGTTATATCAGGAACAAAAGCATTGTTAGTAATGACTACAAGTCTCATAGGGAAACATAATAAAGGAACTTGAACCCAGGTAGAACCAATGAGCCAACTTCCCGCTGGCGGGATGGAATAGAAAACGAGCGCCAAAACCCTTGGAAACGCAACGGTCCTAACCCATAAACATAAGTTCAGTTCTCAGGCAAAGGATACATGATAAGCGAAGCTATGCCATAACATCTCCCTACCACCAGCTGGTCGACCTTGAGCAGTTACGCCTTTGTAGCAAAAGAAGACAGTAAACACCTACTGAGGGAAAGCAAGTGGGGGATGGACAGAGCATGGGTCTATATACACTGAATAGCACAGTACCTTATGGCAGCTTGCTGACAGTGGGGAAGAAGAAGAAGAAGAAGAAGAAGAAGAAGAAGGAAGAAGAAGAAGGAAGAAGAAGAAGGAAGAAGAAGAAAGAAGAAGAAAGAAGAAGAAGAGGAGGATATTGGATTTATACCCCGCCCTTCACTTGGAGTCTCAGAGCGGCTTACAAACGCCTTTCCCTTCCCCTCCCCACAACAGACACCCTGTGAGGTGGGTGGGGCTGAGAGAACTCTGACAGAAACGGCTCTTTCAGGAGCAGGTGTGCCAGAGCTTGTGACTGACCCAAGGTCACATCAGCAGGTGCAAGTGGAGGAGTGGAGAATCAAACCAGGTTCTCCCAGATCAGAGTCCGTGCACTTAGCTACTACACCAAACTGGCTTTTCACAGGGTCTGGAAAGCGGAGCTGGTCCACCAGGTTTTTGGTTGAGGCGGTGGACGTTCAACCATTCTGGCCTCTTCTCAGTGCCTGCTGCTTTAGATAACATTATTTGGGCACTGGAGCTTCTTATTCACCTGACCCGAGGCATGGGTTCTTTGTTGTTATTGCTTATTGTGCCATCTGTTGTTTCATTGGTTTTTATCGCTTTTATTGTTTTGTGAATCTTATGTTGTAATAAGGCACTTGGAACCTACTTGAGAGCCAGTTTGGTGTAGTGGTTAAGTGTGCGGACTCTAATGTGAGAGAACCGGGTTTGATTCCCCACACCTCCGCTTGCAGCTGCTGGATGACCTTGGGCAAGCCATAGTTCTGACAAGAGTTGACCTTGAAAGGGCAGTCCTCGAAAGACCTCTCTCAGCCCCACCTACCTCACAGGGTGTCTGTGGTGGGGAGGGGAAGGGAAAGGAGTCTGTAAGCCACTCTGAGACTCCGAGTAAAGGGCGGGGTATAAATCCAATCTCTTCTTCTTCTTCTTCAAGCAGCAAGGAAGATTTGATCTGGCCAAGCAGTGTGTTTTCTCTCCTATTTTTAGCGTGCAGTTTAATCTGCAGTGAGTCTTTGCTAGAGTATTAACAGGACCCCAAAACAGAATGTTAAACTGTTTTATTCAGTTAAGATTCTGTGACATTAAGATCTACAGATAATGCCTTCTTTCTGGCTTACATTGCCCAGACCGGGGAAAAGGAGCAAGGTAACTTGAACCCCAGGGGCTTCTCTGGCTCTGCTTCTGTGCTTGGAACGTTAAGAAAGGACCTACGATAACCCCCGGGCACTCTCCTTCCAGCAGGAGAAAGAGATGTGGGCTGAGGGAGGAACATGCAGACAGATGCAGTGATGCAAAGGAGGCAGGCAACAGGATAGTAAGGTGGGGTGGAGGGGGAGGTAACGACTGTTATGACAGGGTTGCCAGCTTCCCGGAGGAAAAAAATATCCTGTCCTTTCGTAGAGGTTTAATTAGATGTTATTAAAGATCTCTAGGTCTCTAAATCACAAGCTGTCAACCACTTTAGGTGACAGTTCTCAGCTACTACAAGTTAATCACGTCTGCCAGCCTAAGCAACAATTCTGATAACAAGCCAGCAGGTGGGGGTGATGACATCTGTAGTCAAGGAAGCTAACACTTTAGGCAGAAAAACTCTCTGAAAGGAGACCAGTTTTTTGACACAGTGTTTGAAGGGATCCAAGAGGTCACCTACTCCAACCCCCTTGCTCAGTGCGGGAATTCGTCAACTACAGCACCCCACTCTGCTTTAAAAAAGCATACGCCTTTTAAAATGTTTTTAAATGATTGAAAAAAAGCACTTACAGAAGAAATTCTTGCCAGACTGTGCCTTTAAGAAAGGGACTGGTGCCCCCCAAAGCCCCACTGTAGCTACAGGCCTGTGTTATTTACCAGGGGAAGTTATTTACCCCCACACCATGAAAATACCAGCTGCTATAATGCTAATAAAAGTTGAAGGCGATGGGAAAAGAGGAAGACCTAACATGAGATGGATTAGAAGAAGAAGAAGAGATTGGATTTATACCCCGCCCTTTACTCGGAGTCTCAGAGCGGCTTACGAACTCCTTTCCCTTCCCCTCCCCACCACAGATACCCTGTGAGGTTGGTGGGGTTGAGAGAGCTCTGACAGAAACTGCTCTTTTTCAAGGACAGCTCTTATCAGAACTAGGGCTTGCCCAAGGTCATCCAGCAGGTGCAGGTGGAGCTCAATAAAGGAAACCATGGCCTTCAGTTTGCAAGACCTGAAGAAGGGTTCCTTTATTCCTTTATTGATTTATACCCCGCCCTTTACTCGGAGTCTCAGAGCGGCTTACAAACTCCTTTCCCTTCCCCTCCCCACCACAGATACCCTGTGAGGTTGGTGGGGTTGAGAGAGCTCTGACAGAACTATTCTTGAGAGAACAGTTCTGACAGAACTATGGCTTGCCTGAGGTCATCCAGCCAGGTGCAAGTGGAGGAATGGAGAATCAAACCTGGTTCTCCCAGATTAGAGTCCGCGCACTTAACCACTACACCAAACTGGCTCCCAAGATGAGGTAGGTGGGGCTGAGAGAGCTCTGACAGAACTATTCTTGAGAGAACAGTTCTGACAGAACTATGGCTTGCCTGAGGTCATCCAGCCAGGTGCAAGTGGAGGAGTGGAGAATCAAACCTGGTTCTCCCAGATTAGAGTCCGCGCACTTAACCACTACACCAAACTGGCTCCCAAGATGGGACATATGAGTGGGACAGATGAAGATGGGACATATGAGTGCAGATGAGAGATGCCCAGAGAAGGCCCACTGGGAGCTGTGAGGGGTTTTACTTGCCTTGTTTTCTCTGTTGTGGTCTCTGTGCAGTCTCATGGGGGACTCTGCACTTCTGCAGAGCATCGTTTGGAAACTTCTCACACTAAAGCTCATATTGTTTCCTTCATCTTTGGGTGTGCAGTGTCATTGGGGAAGCTAAGAAGTGTAGTTGTTTCTTTTGACACGGGTACAGTCTTTCTGGCCCTGACCTGAATGATCCAGGCTAGCCCGATCTCAAGAGATCTCAGAAGCTAAGCAGGGTTGGCCCTGGTTAGGACTTGGACAGGAGACCGCCAGAGAAGTCCAGGGTTGCTACACAGAGGTAGGCAATGGCTAACCACTTGTGAACATCTCTTGTGTTGACCTGGTTGGCGCAGGCTAGCCCCACAAGGATTTCTCCTGTAAATGCTTTTTTCAATAATTTAAAAAACATTTTTAAAGGCGTATGCTTTTTAAAGCAGAGTGCAGTGCTGCAGTTGACTAATTCCCACAGTGAGCCAAGGGGGTTGGAGTAGGTGACCTCTAGGATACCTTCTAACACTGTGTCAAGAAACTGGTCTCCTTTAAGAGAATTTTTCTGCCTAAAGTGTTAGCTTCCTTGACTACATTGGAGACCAAGAGGAAAATTAGCCGATATCTCCATCAGGCCCTGACCTGGATAGCCCAGGCTACCCTGATTTCACCAGATCTCAAAAGCTAAGCAGGGTCAGCCCTGGTTAGTTCTTGGATGGGAGACCGCCAAGGAATACCAGGGTTACTGTGCAGAGGCAGGCAGTGGCAAAACCACCTCTGAATGTCTCTTGCTTTGAAAACCCTGCGGGGTCACCGTAAGTCAGCTACAGCTTGACGGGCACTTTCCACAACGGTCTCTTTGAGGAGTCATTTTTCAGCCGGCTGCCATGTAGGCGAATATCCAGTGTATTCCAGCTCATTTTCCTCTTGTTTCTTTCACTATTATTCAAGCAAGTGAATGGGATTTTGGAGAGTCCCACCGGCACGGGGAAGACCCTCTGTCTCCTATGTGCAACTCTAGCTTGGCGGGAGCACTTGAAAGATGCCATCTCTGCAAAGAAGATCAGTCAGCAACTTAACGGAGCGGAGCTCTTCCCTGACCAACCTCTGTCATCTTGGGGCAACGTTGCCACAAATGGTGATGTCCCAGGTAAGTCCTGTGGCTTGTGTTGTCACAAACAGTCTTGTGGTTGCATGGAGGCCACAAGAAGGGCGGGGGGGTTCCAGGCTTTCACTGTGGGGTGCCTGACCTACATAGGAAGAGTAATAAACTCATGGAATTCACTGCCGCAGGAAGCAGTGGTGGCTACAAGTATAGATAGCTTCAAGAGGGGACTGGATAAACATGTGGAGCAGAGGTCCATGAGTGGCTATTAGCCACAAGGTATAGATGGCTGCGGTGGCTCAGTGGTTAAGACTTTGAACTGCAGACCTGAAGGTCGTTTGTTCGGCAGTTCGAGACCCAAGTGCCGCAGGACGGAGTGAGCTCCCGTCTCTGGCCCCAGCTCCTGCCAACCTAGCAGTTCGAAAGCAAGAAATTGCAAGTAGATAAATAGGTACCACTTCGGTGGGAAGGTAACAGTGTTCCCGTGCCCCTCGGCGTCTAGTCATGCCAGCCACATGACCACGGAAATGTCTGGACAGCACTGGCTCTTTGACTTGGAAACGGAGATGAGCACCGCACCCCTGGAGTCGGATTCGACTGGCTTTTGAGCAAGGGAAACCTTTACCTTTACCTTATAGATGGAACACTTTGTCTGGGGTAGTGACGCGTTGTATTCTTGGTGCTTGGGGGGCAACAGTGGGAGGGCTTCTGGAGTCCTGGCCCTGCTGATGGAGCTCTGATGGCACCTGGGTTTCGGCCACTGCGTCGGACTGGATGGGCCACTGGCCTGATCCAACATGGCTTCTCCTATGTTCTTTTGAGCAGGATGTGGGGGCAGGTAGTAGGTTGTACTGTTATCTGTTATCCTTCTATCACCTGCACCGGTACCCTGGCTGTAAAAATTCCAGAAAGCATGGGAAAGCAAGGAACACATGAGCCTGTGAATAATTTTGCTGGCTATTCTGTTGGATTCAGTTGAGGAAAAACACGGGGCCCCCCAGTGTGTATTTTTCTCTTCCGGCGACCCCTTGCCGCTAATTAACTTTAAATGGCATTAGCCAAGACAGTTTGTACTATCATTTGCAGGTGTTTGTCTGCAGATACTTCCTGGGGAGCCCTTTTGCTTAAGGCAGTAAAAATATGCACTCTGCTTGTTCCCTCTAGGTGAGCAGTTGGGTTGTAAAATCTCCCACTGCCTCCGCAGGCTGAGTTGTTACCATAGCACCAGAAGGGGGGGGGAAGCAGATTGGTGATATATTTAGCACTAAACAAGAACTAATTCTCCCCCCCCCCTCTGCTTCTCTACTTGACAGCCTATTACACTGACATACCTAAAATAATTTATGCCTCGAGAACTCATTCTCAGCTGACTCAGGTCATCAATGAATTAAAGAGCACCGTTTACAGGTAAAGAAATTTTGTAGATACCGCTGTTCATTGAGCGCGTGTAGAAGGACCTGGGATAGATTAAGTGTCTGGCCCTTTTTCATTCTCACGGCGCCCTTGATTATAGTGATTTTTGAAAGCGCTGTTACTGACTCACTTGGTAGGCATGGTAAAGAAACTCTCCCTGAAGGCTGGGGGAAATGTCTCGAAATACCGAAAAGCAAGTACCAGCCCTGTCCTTTTTGTTTCCTGCCTTTAAGCCATTTGAACACCATGCTTGTGTCTTAATACATGAACTCATGAAGCGACCTTATACTGAATCAGGCCCTTGGTCTATTGAGGTCGATATTGTCTGCTGTGACCGGGAGCGTCTCTCCAGGGCACTGTTCCCTCTAAGCTGAGTTAGTGTGAGCTAGCTCACCGTTTTTTTTAGCCTCCAGCTCACACATTTTTGTCTCAGCTCAGGAAGGGATGGCTCCAGAGCAAACTAATGTACGCAGTAGCCAAATCGCTCGCTCACAATTTTAATGCCAGTAGCTCACAAAGTAGAATTTTTGCTCACCAGACTCCACAGCTTAGAGAGAGCATTACCCAAGACATTCAGTTTCTGGCCTAAGAGTAGCAGCCATTTCAAAGGGAGATTAAAAAGAGAGACTGCCGAATTGCAAGATGGCTCACCAATTCAGTGTTCCCTCTAAGCTGAGTTAGTGTGAGCTAGCTCACAGTTTTTTAGCCTCCGGCTCACACATTTTTGCCTTAGCTCAGGAAGGATGACTCCAGAGCAAACTAATGTATGCAGTGGCCAAATCGCTTGCTCACAGCATTAATGCGAGTAGCTCACAAAGTAGAATTTTTGCTCACAAGACTCCACAGCTTAGAGGGAGTATTGCTCCATGGCTTCAGGCTGAGTTCTTTCACATCACCTACCGCCAAGTCCTTTAACTGGAGATGCCCAGGATTGAACTTCGGACATCCCTGCATGTCAAGCACGGGCTCTTCCACTGAGCCGCACACACCCTCCTCAGCAATGTCGCTCTTCAGTGTCCTGTTCTTGATCATATGCTTTTTTTTTTTTAAATGACCGTGTTTTTAAAATGTCAATGTTCTCCACCCTGCGTAAACAGGCCCAAAGTGTGTGTGTTCGGTTCTAGAGAACAACTGTGCATCCACCCTGAAGTTAAAAAGCAAGAAAGTAACTACCTGCAGGTGAGAATATACAAGCAAAATTACACAGATCGTGCGTATTGACTCGTTTATGCTGGGGTTTGTTGGTCCATTCGCTGAATCTGGCCTAAACAGGGTTGCCATTGGCCAGTGGCGATACATTCCGTTGCTGTAGTCTGTGGTTGTCTTGTGGACTGCTGGTCCTGTAGCCCCGCTGTGCGTTCTGTGCCCTTTGTGCGCTCTTCTTCCTGAAACCACTGGCAGGTTAGCCTCAGGCCAGTAGCTCATCCAGTCACGGGGAAGCAGCTGCCATGTTGTAATTCTCCCTCAACAGGGGAGGGAAGACTCTTTTTTTCTGTGTATGGGTGTTGTGGAGGAAGCTTGGCCTATGCTGGGGGATGTAATTAAACAAGAGAATTAACTGCTGTCTCCGTTTAAGCTCACAGTTGCCGAGCTGTGCCGTGCAATGCCAGTAGGGTTTCTGTGCCGTTAATTCCATTTGAGTTCCCATTAAATGCCACATTCTACAAATGATCATTGCTTGCTTCGTTTTATTTCACCGTCTTTGGCTTTTGCGACTTGTCTGCTCAGGACGCGCACTACTTTTTTACCGTCTTCAGCATATTCGGGTTTTGCGTGTATTACATTTTTATCCCATTTATTTGTTTTTTCTTTAGAGCTGGGGTGTGAAACATAAGGCCCGGGGGCCGGATCAGGCCCGTCCAGGGCTCTTATGCGGCCCGCAAGCAACCAATGCAAGGGAGGGAGTACTGGGGGGCCAGTGGGCGGAGCCACTCCATTGTGGCTTCAGCATGGCGGAACAGCCTCGTCTGCAGCAGTCAAGCATCTTGGGAGCATCTGCCCAGTGCTGCACTGCTAGCTCTCCAGTCTGCCCGTATGGGTTTTCCTCTGGACTCCTCCCAGCCCTCGGGGCCTTGCCGTGAGGAGACACCAATTCGGAGCTAATCAGCTGCTGTCCTTTATACAGTTTCTATCTCCGGTACCTGGCATGACATTTTATGGCGTTTTATCCGTTCTAACCCGACTGCTCAGCAATTTCATGGAGTGCCCACGAGTTCTTGTGTTGTGAGAAAGGGAGAAAAGGACTTCTTTCTCCGCCTGCTCTGTCTCATGCATAATCTTATAAACCTCAATCATGTCACCCCTCAGCCGTCGGAAAGTGTTCCAACCCTTCTATCATTCTAGTTGCCCTTTCCTGCACTTTCCCCAATGCTACAATATCCTTTTTGAAGTGTGGTGACCAGAACTGTGCACAGTACTCCAAATGAGGTCGCACCATCGATTTATACAGGGGCCCTATGATACTGGCTGATTTGTTTTCAATTGTCTTGCAGATCCACTTGTGCCGTATGAAAGTAGCGACCCGCTCGTGCTATTTCTATAACAACGTGGAAGGTAGGAATCAGCGTCTGTGAAAGCAGTTCTCACTTGGTTCTAATGATGGGTGAGATCTGTATAAGGATTTCTGTTACACGCTTTAGCACAAGCTTGCCAGCCTTCATAATGACATTTTCGATGGGGCTGTACAATTTTCTTACCAGCAAGATTAGTTTCTACAACCTGCCTGCCTCTGTACGTGCTTGAGGGTGTTTTGTATTCTGGTAGGACCCAGGTAATTGAGTTCTCTGAATATCGACTGTGAAAATGTCAGCTTTGTCCAGAGAAAAGAGTGAGCAGGACCTACTTTGCACGTCCTTTTTCTGGCGTTCAGCTCATCCACTGTGTCTTATTCAGAGCCTGCTCGTTTTCAAGGCCTCTTTGGGGGTTTTCCTCCAGTTTGATGTAGTGGTTAAGTGCGCGGACTCTAATCTGGGAGAACCGGGTTTGATTCCCCACTCCTCCACTTGCACCTGGCTGAATGACCTTGGGCAAGCCGTAGTTCTGATAAGAGCTGTCCTTGAAAAAGAGCCGTTTATGTCAGAGCTCTCTCAGCCCCACCTACCTCCCAGGGTGTCTGTTGTGGGGAGGGGAAGGGAAAGGAGTTTGTAAGCCGCTCTGGGACTCCTCTGGGTAGTGAATGGTGGGGTATAAATCCAGTCTCTTCTCCTCTTCTCTTCAAGTTGACGGAGCCAGGGCTGTGGGAGAGGCATCTCTGAGCCCTCGGCCGTATCCCAGAGGTCTCTGGTTTACTTTCTTTCTTTTTTAAAAAAAACATTTTATTATCGGGATATAACAACATGTCCAATATTATAACAATCCCTCATTTCCAATATAGCCCTTTTCCTTTCCACCCTCCCTCCCTTTCTTCAGGCTTCCCGCAGTGATCCCATCCCCCACCAAATCTCTTTTACTTTCCCGTTTCTTCCTCCAAAACAAAACTTAATAGGTAACTATTACTTTATAGGTAACATTTCTTTAACGACCATCCTCGTCTACTCAACTTTTTCCTCATTCTATTCTTAATAATTTTCAAAGCACAACAAACTGTTATCCCAATGTTTCTCTAGATACTCTTTAAAGTCCACCCAGTCTCCAAAAAATTCTTCATCCTCCTTGTTGTTAGGTTTTCTTGTCAGTTCAAATATTACTTTTGGGTCTTAAAATGGAAGAAGTGTATGTAACTAAGAGAACACTGTTATGGTATTTGATTACAACGGCAAGAATGACTTACGCTCAGTGCTGGAAGCAAGAACGAATACCAGAGATTTGGGAATGGATAAGGTCTCTGGTTTTCTTCATTGGATGATTTACATCCCACTTATCATGTGCTCTGATTAAAAAAAAAAAATCATGTGCTCTGATCAGCCGCTGCCAAGAGTAAACGTCAAGCCGAGATCATGAAAATACAAGAAGAGATCCAATCAGAGCCATGAAATTTAGTGATTTTGTGTGTGTAAATGCCATTAAGTTGCTTCTGACCTATAATTCAGTGTCTCCCCCCCCCCCCCCATTCATAGAATCATAGAGTTGGAAGGGACCT